TAAAATCAAAACATTCAGTTATTAATTTTATTAATTTATGTTTAGGGGGAGTGGTGTTCTACAGGAGAACCACACAACAAAGTTCTGTTACTTGATGACAACGGGAAAGAAGCAAATGAAAGGATAGTGATGTTTGCAACACATGAAGGGCTTGTCAATTTAGCAAGTTCTTCGAAATGGTATATGGATGGAAACTTTGCTTTGGCTCCAAAACTTTTAAGTCAGCTGTATGTCACACGTGTAGAAATAAATAGAAATTTTACAACATCAGTATACATTCTCTTACAGAATAAAACTTTGACAACTTATGAGAAAATACTCACTACGCTTTTAAAAAAATGTGAAGAACAACATTTATTTCCTGATCCTGTGGTAGTACATGTTGATTTTGAACGTGCAGTTATCACAGCTATCACACATGTTCTTCGACCAGATATACACATTCAAGGTTGTTTCTACCATTTAACTCAGTCGACTTATCGGAAAGTACAAGAGTTAGGGTTGCAGACACAATACAGAGAAGATCAAAACTTAATCGAATTTTGTGGAAAAATGGATGGCTTGGCATTTTTACCCGTTGGAGATGTCAAATATGGTATGGTATATTTAAAAAACACTGTTCCTGAAGAGGCAAAACGTTAATGGCAAGTACAGGCAAGTTATAAATGAAAGTAACAGAATAGTCTTAAGAAACTGCCCCCCTATTTTTCCACCAAACTTATGGAACGTACACAATTCAACTTTAAATGATGAAGAACGTACGAACAATTCAACCGAAGGATGGAATCATAGGTTTAGTAAATTAGTAGGACAAACACATGCAACAATTTGGACTATTATAGAAAAAATAATGTTAGAAGTGGCAGCTGATGAAACAAAGCTATCCCAAATTCAACTAGGAGTACCACAACAGAAAAGACAAAAAACGGTGTACAAAAAAATACAAACCCAATTAAAACAATTATGTGAAGATTATAATAATGGTATACGCGATATTGAAAACTTTTTAACTGCYATCTCATTTACAATAAGGTATCRATAACATACATTTKTATACACATTTTTTTAAATTATTATTTTTACTTATTCGACTRATCACATTTTTATTGGTAATTTTATTATTTTTACTTTATTTAACTGATCAAATTATTTTATTACCGACCTTTTAATAAAAACTATGCCAAATTCAATAAACAATATATTTTAAAAATTGAATTTAATTGATATTATTATTTTTTTTAACTTACTGGAGGAGGAAAGATATTATTATAATAATGTTATATGACATAATATAGCAAAATTCAAAAATTTTGTTTTTATTTTCATGGTTTTTTATTTTTTGGATTTTTTTACTTTGGTTTTTTTTCCGTTTACCGTTCTATCACCAGCATAGCGCGCCCGTTTTGACCGCGTTCACGGTTCTACCGTACTGCTTGTAGTATATTATATGCTCATTGTATTGATTGTATTTATTGTGTCTTATTTGTATTTATTGTAAACTTGTACCATTTATACCGTAGCCATTTTTATTGTATTATATTTTCACCCGTGCAATTATTTCGCGCGTACCGCGCCCCACCGCTCGCGAGCGTTTCGGCGGCGGCTAACAACGCTCTGGTCCGTCTCGAACAATCGCTCGCRACACAGTTTTTTTCCCTACGGTAGTACGGTCTACACGAACGACAGCCCAGTCGCAACGCCGCTCCTGACCTTACGCGTCGCCGTACATTTAATCATTTTATTGTTTTATTTTGTTATAAATATATCGGCGATTCAACGCCTTACCGTGAACCACACGCACGTTGTTCAGTCTCTTTATTTGCCTTACCTTCTGAACAGAGTAATAAAAGTCGGTCGTTAGTGAGAGACGGTTTTTCCTCCACTAACGCCACAGTGTTTATAATAGGCTATCATGAGTTCATTGTCGTATGGAAAAACACATGCTGTTGAAGCTAAGATATCATTCATTGACTTACAATTAAATACTTCAACAATTTTATTTTATATGATTACATCCTGAACCAGAAGATAACTGGACATGTTATTAGGGTTGCCATCATTTCATCAAACAAAACCGGGACAGATTGAAAAATAGTAAATACATTTAGAAATAAAATATCATTAAATTATATAAGCCATTGGGTATGTATTAAAAAAATGACACAATAGGTTATAGTGTTAAAACTTATACACTTTATTACTGTAACATATGAACAATGTAAACTTTTTTTWAAATTTATTGTTTAATAATATTTAACAATATTAAATTCGTCACGAAAATGACATTTTCTTTTTGGTGCCATAATAACAAATAAAATAATAAAAACAAACAATCTAGGCTACGACCTACACTAAAGCTAGCCATACACGTTCCGGTTTGCCGGAGAGGTCGGACTGCACAGTTTAACCTGCACAGTTTTTACCGATTTCCGATGACGACATACACGCCACGATTTGCCGGATACGCAGGACTGCGCAGTCACACGCTTTCCGGCCAAAATAGTCCTCAGCTGCGGGTCGTCGAATGTTCAAAATATTTATATTTTTTCGCCGTTTTTTCAATCAGATTCTTTAACATATTTTTCACATTATTTTTTTAAATTCACATACAATATGTCAGTCCTAGACGACGACGCCATAGCTTTGGTAGGCTTAGCTCTAATTCTTAAAAACAAAAAACAAAAAAAACGCGAAAAATGGGCCAAAGATTGGCTCTTAAAACGAAAAATCTACAGCCATGTCAATTTATTAAATGAATTGAGATTCGAACCACTGGATTTCAAAAATTATTTACGAATGGACGAGGATACTTACCGTAATCTACTGTCAATGGTTGCGCCTTTAATACAAAAACAAGACACTGTAATGCGTAAAAGTATTTCTCCGCATGAGAGGTTAGCAGTTACCCTAAGGTTCCTCGCAACTGGAAGGACTTACGAAGACTTAAAATACACTTCAGTCATTTCATCTCAAGCACTTGGAAAAATTATTCCAGAGACCTGTGATGCTTTGTACCGAGTATTACGTAGGGAATATTTAACGGTAAGTTCTGAGTAGAACGAAGAATGTATTGATTTTACAATGATATGTTTTTTTTAAATTTTTTATTTTTTTTTGTGTCTGTCATCACAAAATTTATCAAAATTATCAATCACTGTAATTAAAAAATTATAAAATGTTCAGTTATTATAACTAAGGATTGAAAATTTAAAACAAAGATTCTCATAAATAATTCATACTGTAACCTAAAAATCTAAAAAATACATAAACACAGTTTTTTTTAAATTAATATTTATTTAAATCTATAATATGTAGATACATTGTTTAGTTTTTATAAAATTAGTTATATAATGAGCAGCATTTTCTGGTTGAGTTTGTTGTTGATTAGTAGCAATATCATCATTTTCTTGATACACGTAGACACCATTTTCAGAAAAAGAACTCAAATTAGAATTTGTACTAAAATTGGAATTTGAACTATCATTTCGCGAGTAACAGCTTGATGTAGTTTCTGCTGCTATTGTTAACTTATGGTTTAATGTCAAGCTACCCATTTCACCCTCGAAAAGGATATCATTCATCAACTTTTCAGCAATGATTCGCTGCCTTTTTTCCAATTCCCTCAWTCTCATAGCAAAACCTTTTGCACTAACGTCATACCGATCTTCATCCATTTTCGGTCGTTTAAAATGATCACGCACCGATAGAAACACCTCAGTTTGCAACTTTGCATCGTTTTTTTTGGATTTTTCTGCCCTTGGTGGATTAACGATATCTGATTGCGCAACTGTCGAATTTACTGAGTCGATTCCTTCTACTTCATTTTCCAGATTATCATCTATTCCAATCTGAAATAAAAATGAGATAAATTTAATTTTAAAATTAAATACAATTTTAATTTAATATAATTTTTAATTTAATTTTTTTTCAGTTTCCTACAACTGAGGAAGAATGGAAAGACATTGCACAATTATTCGAGGAACGTTGGAACTTTCCACACTGTATTGGTGCGCTCGACGGAAAGCACATAAATATTGTTCCACCAGCTGGAAGTGGATCCGAATTTTTCAATTATAAAGGCCACCATAGCATGGTTCTCTTAGGTTTAGTAAATGCAAATTATCAATTTCTATTGGTAGATTTTGGAACAAATGGCAGAATTTCTGATGGGGGTGTTCTTCAGAATACAACGTTTTTCGAAAAACTACTAAATGAAGAATTAAACATTCCTTGCGCAGACAACATTGAGGGAAGTTCCAAGAAATTACCATATGTTTTTGTTTGCGATGATGCCTTTCCGTTACGAACTGATATGCTTAAACCGTTTCGACAATCACATTTGGATTGTTATGAAAAAAAAATATTCAATTACAGGTTAAGTCGCGCACGACGAATCGTGGAAAATGCGTTCGGAATATTGGCAAATCGA